ATATCCACTTTCAATTCATCTTTATAATGAGGACTCAAGATATTTTTAATAATATTGCAACACTTTGTGCGATGCAATTGCATGTCTTTAACTGCTTGTGAATCATCGTCCCACTTTTTATGCTCACGACTGTACAGTGTTGTCATTTTGTCTTGATAACATTTTAAACTGTCAAAATTTCTTTATTTTTAAAGTTATTTAAATAGATAAAAAAAACCTACTGTAGGGTTGCTTTCCAAGTTTTAGAAAGAATTGACAAAAAACAAAAGCCTAATATATTTTGACAGTTATGCGCACAAATAGCATGTTTTTAAATGGAGCACCCAGTAAATTTTTAGTTTGTTTGATAATATGTTCCATTCTGATTGCAATATATCACAGCCTCCTATAGTTAACAAGCCATGAAATTGGAAATGACGGCAACGTCGCGTATGGTGCTATTTTGTTATTGGGTTATGTGTTTCTGTGTATTGCTTTCATTGTGTATTGTTGCAATTTAGTATTTTTATGGGCATTATTGACGAAAAAGTGGATAGAAACACACCAATATATTGCCCATATTTAGTTGATACCTGTTCCTTTGTGCTTTGATTGCAAATTTTTAGCAAATGGGTACAGGAGCAAAAATGAAGGTAAGGTAAGGTAAAACAATAAAAACAATATTAATATTTGTCTGCAAGAGCATAATAGGTCTCGATATATTACCTAAGATATTTAAACTTGTTCCAGATGCCATGAAACTACTGTGTTCCTGGGTGCAAATCGAACTATTAGGAGTTCCTTAAAAACTGAAGAAATGCAAACATTTTTATTTCCAAAAAAATTCTGAAGTGCAAAAAATGTGGATGAAAGCAATACACCAAGATAATTATACCCGAGATTATACAATAACGAAAAATTCTGTGGTGTGTTGTAAACATTTTGAAGAAACCGAAATAATTAGATTTGAAACAAACAAGGATAAAGGCGTAGTTCGAGAGTTCAAACTAAAACGTCCAACTCTTAAAAGTAGGTACCTCTTATTTTCGAAAATCAGCTCAAGTATTTGAATGGACTTGCCTTCCGAAAAAATCCCGAAGAAAGAAAAAGTTAGATTTTCAAAAGACATACTGAAACACGCCTATAACACTTTAGACTCTAGAAATATATTAATTTAAATCAATTATTTACTGTTCTTATTTACACAAATAGTTAAATTATTCATTGAATTACTGTTTTTGGCCCTTTAGTACAATAAATTATGTATTTTTTGTGATTCATATTAATAAAATAAAAAATATATATTTATACAAACAAACACCACCAGCACCACTTGGCGGTAAGATTGCGGTGTTGCCTTTTTAACTTCATGGCTTGTTAAATGTAGGGGGCTGTGAATATATACAATACAATATAATTGAATACAATAATTCACATTATATTTACATGCAGAAATGTTTTATTTATTCTAACTGAAAATATTGATTACCTACACAGATTACCTGTAAAGGTAGGTAGGTAAACAGATTTTTCCATTAAAATAAATATAGCTATTTACCTAACAAGTGCGGAAAATGAATTTTTCCGCACGAGTCTGCCGTTCACCGAACGACGCGTATAAGCGGAGTTCGGTGAAGCAGCCGAGTGCGGAACAATATTTTCCGCAAGTGTTAGGTACAATAGTTTTTCTTCGAGCGTGAGGAAAATATATATACATCAAATTTTTGTATTCAAGTTTCATCTACATTTACTTATTATTTATATTATAGTTAATAGTAAAAGTACAGGGTGATTCATTAAGAATGGCACTCGGCCATATCTCAAAAACTATTCATCGTAGTCTTGTCGGAAAAAAATTATCCCATAAATATGGCCAAGAGAAAATGCTGGAAATATGTTTCAGCTTTCTGAAATGACCGTAAGGGGGCGTAACCCAACTGTCAAAGTACAAAAATGGTTTTATTTTATAAATTTCAAATAGAAAGTTATCTCAAAAATGCTAGCAATAGATTTTTGATGAAATTTCACACAATTTTGATTAATGACTTTTTACCATAACTTATCGGATAAGACAGTTACGAGCTGTCAAATATTGCAACTTAAGAACACGAATAATTTCAAAACGACTCAACGAATTTGGTCAATCTTAGGTTCGTTGGAAAGAAAAGAGTCTGTTCTTTAATTTTGTTGTAAATAATTCAAACTGCAGTTAGTTGGACTGACTCTATGGGTGGATATTTGAAAACAATTGAATGTTTCCAATTTTTCTTAAAATTTTCAAATGCAACGGTATATTTAAGATATGTTAAATCGATTTTTGAGGATGTTTTACATTCCTAGTGTTTCTTTATTATACCTTCCTACAAACGAATTCCAGAGAGTGTTAAAATCAATTTTATTAAAAATAATCAGTATTTATGAAAAAGCCCTCGTAAATTGAGCAGATACCAGTTAAGTATGTCAGGCTGACACATTTTTGAAACTTCAATCCATAGACAATAAAAAATAAAAAGACCTTCAAAAGTATAGCCGAAATAGGTTATACTATTACTGCGCATCCGGTTGCGCATAGCGCATTGCGGAATTTTTGGAAAGCTAGAGACTTACGAAAGATCAGTCCGATCATTCGATTCTGTTTCATCTTTCTCTGTCATACCAATTCACAAGACAAGGACACCGTATTAGTTACAGGGCTTTCCGAGCTGTTTTGTAGAAACCTATCAAACATCCATAACTATAGAAACTGTGACCGAGAAAACAAATAAGTAACCTTAAAATAACGACATTTCCGTGTTGAAATTTGTCATTTTTAACCGATTGGGCGGTCGTCTAAGAAGACTTGATCTCACAAAATCTAAAGAACAAGAAGAAGAAATTGACATTTTTATTAAGGCACTTGGTATTGCAGACCTATAATATTATGTACAACTAGGATAAATTGAACCAGTAAGTATAGATGTTAGTTTTGTGATATACGTTCAATACGGCATATTTTTGTACTGTTTTAGGAGACCTCGGTCAGAAGAGATAAAATGTAGATGTCAGGCCTTGGCCAGCTTAGCTTGTACATACATTAATGCATGTATAAGGGATGTGTTAACTGTGTTTGTAAACTCTTTAGGTATTTGACCTATCTAGCTATAATATATATTTTTTCTAGTACAATTTATGGCCATATTCTCCCTATGTGAATAAGCGGAGCTTAGCGTTTAAGCCGGCTTTAAAGACACATTTGGTATGCGCCGTACGCTCAACCTACTTTAAGCCAGGTTTAAGTTAAGCCTTCAAAATTCTCGGCTTATATTGTTAAGCCAGACATCTGGAACATAATATAACCTAACTTTTTGGTTGATATGTTAGTTCTTCTTTGTCATTTTTGGAAAAAAATAAGTGAAAAATAACAAAAACATGGAAATTGCGGACGAAATAATGCTTGAAGATGACCTGGAGATCTTAGACATAATTAATTTTGGATTTCCACGACATCTCTACAATAGGCCAAACTATATTCAAGATATGGACGACTTAAGTTTTTTTAGAAGATTTCGATTGACAAAAGCCACCGTAATATCAATTTTGGAAATGATAGAAGATCCGTTATAATTTGAAAATGATTTGTAAGTATTAGTAGTATTACATAATATTTTATGTACCTATATAAAAATCCAACCTGTTTTCAGAAATAATAGTGTATCCCCAGCAAATCAGTTGCTCACCGCTTTAATGTTTTATGCAAGCAGTGCCCATCAAATTGATATTGGTGATTTCATGCACATGGATCAAAGCCCTGTTTCCAGGATTGTAAGCAAAGTCTCTCCTGTTATTGCCAGCCTGCGAAATAGGTTTATCAAAATGCCGAACACCCCAGAGGAAATACTCAGGTATCAAAACCAATTTTACCAAGTTGCAAGATTTCTCCGAATCATTGGATGTGTAGACAGAACTCACATTAAAATCACCTCCCCAGGTTAGTTCACACCTATCCATATAAACTTGCGTGCATAGAAATCGGCCCACAGCTAACTTTTGACTTCAAAAGAAATATGCCATTTGAAAACCAATTTAATAGGTCTGTTTTTGCAAAAATCACAAACCAATCAAAGTGAATTTCATTGGTTGAAAACAGTCAGAAAAATAGTTTCAACCAATGAAATTCACTCTGACTGGTTTCGTGATTTCTGCAGAAACAGACCTGATATCATCTAATATGAATTAAAATTATGTTTTATAATAATAATCCTATGAATAGTGTCTAAAAAAAAAAAGGTGAAGTCAAAAGTTAGCAGTGGGCCAATTTCTATGCACTTAAGTGTATTTTTGTAGGTATATAGAGTTCTTCAATTTCAAAGAATAAAACTCTTTCAGGTGGAGAGGATGCAGAGGTTTATTGAAACCGGAAGTCATACTTTTCAATCAATGTGCAGTTAGTGTGTGATAGTGAACTAACAATTACCAGGTTTGAAGCAGGAGAATTTGGGAATGGCATTCTGCTAGGTAAGTTTTTGTATGATTTTTGATTTACAATAGAAATAATTTGCTGTTTTTTTTAGGTGATAGCGGTTATCCACTTAAACCTTACCTGCTCACTCCATTAGCAAATCCAACAACTCGTGCGGAACAGCTGTACAATGAAGCACAAATTAGCACCAGAAATTGCATAGAGAGGACAAATGGTGTCTACAAGAAAAGGTTTCCAGCACTCTGTTATGGGCTTAGATGCAGTTTGGATAATACATTGAATATAATAGTTGCTACAGCTGTTCTGCACAACATCGTACTAAGCATGCATGAAGATGTTCCCCCACTACCTGAAGGAATAAATGCAGAGGAATTAAATTATTTACTCAATCAGGGACAACTTTCAGCAGTTAATTTACAAAATAATCCAGCATATTATGACTTTAGACATGACTTGGTTAATTATTTTGCAAATTTATAAAAAATATAATTTTAAGAATAGGAAATAATTTGATGATATTCATAATTATTTCATATTGTAATATAATTGTTATAAATAAACGCTCATTTATTATTTGAAAAATATATTGTTCAGAAAATTTCCTAAATACATAAAAGGCAAATTTGTGATTTTCTGTCGATAAGAGAATTAGGTAAGTATATTTTGGAATGTTACACTGGTATTGTATTTTGAATAAATTGAATTCAAGTTTAAAAGTCATTATTCTGGAAAGTGGTTTTAAAACGTTGCTGTTTTTTGTTTGCCAACTCAATCTCTAGGATTTCGATTTCTAGCTTGTGCTTTTTCATAACAAGGGCATTTTCAGCTTCCGTATGTTTAAGTTGGCAGTCAATTAGCTGTAATCTTCTGTCCAGTAGGAGATCATATTTCTTACCCACATCAGATGATGTCATTGGCTTAATAATTGTAGTTGGTCGTCTTCGACTTGGACGATTCTTGGGTGTCATGCTGGTGCTAGAAGCCTAAAAAACTCCTTGAATAACAACTAATACCATAGTAAATTTGAAGAGAGCTGAACAGTCGAAATATAATACAAAGGTATATTTTTTTTGAAAACTTGTGAAATTATCAGTGAAGCCTAAGAAGAAAAGTATAAACCAACCCTGGTTGTTCCAGATTCATTTTTTCCAAAACATATTTTCTCTTGACTCATCGGTTCTTTGATACGTAGGGGCGTACTGATAGGAGTTTGTAGTTGTACTGGGGTATATTTTTTCCAGGTATTTTCTTCACAGCCATCAATCTGTGTATCTTTTTGCAACATGAGTTCTTTTTTTTTAAATTATTCTCTACTTGACTTGCTTGTCTTATTTGTTTTGTTGCTACATAGTCATAGTTACTACTCAAGGTCTCGGTTATAATAGCAGTCTTCTAGAAATGAATTAGATACAAGTGATTAAATTTCACAAAAAATCAACTAATAGATAATAAATTGATAAGTAAATTATTTATATTTAAACTGAAATCAAATCAAAAGGTGTAGAACTTTAATCATGTTATATGATATGTATTTTTAGCCAAATAAGATATTGCGTAGCTTTTTAATTTTAGAAAATTTAAGCAAAATTATCTGAATATTTACCTCTAATGATACTGTTGGTTCTAGAACACCATCTTCCTCGATGACAAACTCAATAACATTCTCTTGCTTACCTAATTTAATAATAGGTGAAATATCAGCATCATCATCAAATTGACATGTAAACCCCACCAATGTTTTTTTTGTTCATAATGGATTCAAGAATTTGGTCCGATTCATCCTTTTTAATTTTTGGAGGAGGTCCACCTCCTGTTAACAGAGTTTCTTTCCTTTCTTCGGCTAGGGATTTTCTTAATTCTTTTTTTTTGTTTGAATAGCACTTTTGTAAACAGGCTGCATTTCTATATACGCCGCTGCTGGATGACGAATTAAATTCGTTCTCGATCAACTGCCAGGCCTTGTTTTTTTGGATGGAAGAAGTCCTGTCGGTTTTTTTGTCTTCCAATACAGATGCATATTTACTGGCAATTAAACGCATCAAGTGCGTTTTTTCAGCAACTGAAAAATTTGGCACCCGTTTTACCGGAACTTTGTTATCAGAGATTGAAATCATTATTTTATTTGCTTCAAGACCTTTTTTTTCTTTTGAGAAAATGAAACCAATCCAAACCCAAACAAAACATTCAAAAGTCAAAACCAAAACAAAACAAAATTTGACATTTTTTAGGTTAGGTTGTCTTCATATTTCACTATTTTAGGGTGTTGCCAAATTTATTTGGGACTTAACAAAGCCTCATCCATTCATCGATGGTGCATACCAACAGAATTTAAGCCGAGCTTAATATTTCAGCCTGGCTTAACTAAATGCAGCTTAAGCACGAAACGGAGAATATGGCCATTAGTGTTTATTTTACCTTTTTTTTCAATCTACATCAAAAAATGGCACCAAACTTTATGGAGTACCACATCATTTTTCTCATTCGGATTTGAGAAAAAAAGATGTGGAACAACATAAGTAAGTTTTTTGTGCAATCAACTCAAGTCAAATTTCAAAATTCCCGCCATTTCAGTATTTGTTCCGGCTGCCACTATTGACGCCACCGTCGCTGTGACGTCAGCGCTATACAAATTTTCATGTTATCAATCAGGTACTGTTACCTTCAAATATATTTGTCAAATACCTGCAAAAATATATTTTGACAGGACACCGAAGAAAATGCCATAAAATAAAAACTTTGAGGACGTCTGACCCCCTTTTTGCAACGAACTAGACGTCTGACGATTTACATACGTTATCTGTGACCTTCAAACAGATAATGTGCAAAATTTCTATAAATTTTGAGCTTTGAGAAAACAGTTTAGATGCTTCTTAAAATTACAACTTTGCCCGCGTCCCAGAGCCAGCTGTCCCGGAACTGTGAGTGCTGACTGTACACTAGCATTCTAGCACTAAAGTACGACCTATTTTGAAAATATCCGCCTTGCGAAAACTCTTGCATGTTTTTGACGCCAGCTCCCCAACTATTCCCCTGTACTTAACTGGCACAATGTCGACGTTAGCGCCTCTGGTGGTTACGGACAGCAATGATTCCAAGATGGCGCCGAGTGAGTGAACACCTGTTTGGCAGCTGCGATAATTTTTGAGTGTTTTCTTAGTTTCCTCAAGTTTATCAATAAAATTAAACGTAGTTTTGCATCGGGGTGTGTCTGTAGTGTACTTCTGATTATTTGAAAACTGGTTCCTCCTATTTTCAACCGAAAGTCTGTGAATATTCGTGTTTAAATTGTAAATAAACATGGTGCTGTCCGAGAATGACATTGAGAAAATTAAGGGGATCTTCACGGATCGTTTTCTGCAAAACGTGGCAGATAAAGTGGCTCAAATTATGGACAAAAAATATGCGAAGAAATTCAAGGAGCAGGAAAAATGTGTATCCGATCTTCAGCAGGAGGTAATCAAATTAAAAAGGGTCAACCAAGAAATGGCGAATGCACTAGACAGTCAGGAGCAAGCATCAAGAAACTGCAATGTTCGGATTTTTGGAATTCCGGCCGAACCTAACGAAGATCTGCGGCTTAAGGTTCAGGATGTTTTTAAACAAATGAAGGTAAACATAAATACCGCTCACATCATAAGGTGCCACAGAATTAAGTCCAAAATTGCATCCGATAAGCCGCCAGCAGTGCTGGTGCGGTTCTCAAACGACATCGATCGCCTCGCAGTGTTAAAAAACAGAAAAAACCTTAAGTCTACTGGTGTACAAGTGCGTGAAGACCTAACAAAAAATCGCTTGACCCTTTTGTCAATGGCTACTAATAAATTCACAACAAAATATGCTTGGTGTTTCAATGGTATTATTTACATTAAAATCGGAGACGTTGTGCATCGTATCAATGACAGGAAGGAGCTGGATAATTTCACAATCACAAACTAACCTGTACGTATTAAAATTGCTGCTTGATTTTGTTGTCTGATACCTTTTGAATTAACTTTAAAATATTGGCATTAAATTCTCCTCTTGATTTCACTTACCTATTGTTATAAATATAGCGCATTGCATTTTTTTTTTTTTTTATTTGCCTGTACCTGGATGTTTCTGACAATGGATGTATTCAAATTTTTTTTCATTTGGTTTTTTTGGGTAAATATACTTTTTGTGGCCACATTATATAATATGATGATACTACTTGAAATAGCAATTATTATTATTATTTTTTCTCTCATTCTTGGTCTCAGGGCGAAAATAATTATTTCGGATGGGTATTTTGGCTTACTTTTTTTTTTTTTTTTTTAATTGGCTGTTTTCTTTGGTGCCAAATTTGGTCATAGGATAAACTAGTGATAGACTATTATTTTATGAGCTTTATGTTATACGTATGATATTTTATTATTTATATATATATATTTTTTTTTATTTTGTTTATGTGGGAAGACTAGGTTAAACAAGTAAATTTTGGCCTCTGGGTAAAATTAACTAAGTGGCAGCTGCTGCTCGGTTATGGGTGATTCCTTTTTTGTGCTTACAACACAGAGTTTCTTATTTTTTATTTTATTTTATTTATTTTTTTTTAAATTTTTTTTTTCTACCTATCAATTTTCATTTCGTTTCTTTTCTTTTTTCCCCTAATATCTTTCTATCTTATGCACTGTGCACACTTGAACGTTCGATCTCTTTTGAATAACTTTGACCATTTCAAAGACCACTTATTTGAGTACAACTACCAAGTACTTGGAGTGACTGAAACCTGGTTAAGCCCGAATATCGGCAATGAGAATCTTTCTCTTAATGGCTATGACTTTGTTCGACAGGACCGCACTGGCACAAGACGGGGGGGTGGCGTTGGAATTTATGTAAAATCTAACTTAAAGTTTTCTGTTTTAAAAAGTGAGTGCCTGCATATAATTGAACATATTTGGCTGAGGGTCGAGGTGGGGGGCCATTCTATTATTGTAGGCAATATTTATAGACCTCCTCCCTCCAACTGTCAGGAATTTATAAATTATTTGGAGGATATTTTAATTGACTTCTATGCTACCTGTGACCGAATCCTATGTTTTGGGGATTTTAATATAAATATGTTGGAGAATGATGCTTCTCATGTTGTTCAGTTAAATAATATTTTAGATACCTTCCGGTTGAGCCAATTGGTTTCTGAACCAACTAGGATTAGTCAATCTAGTTCTACATTGATTGACCTGATTTGTTGCAGTTCGGATCTTGTACAGGATGTGGGTATCCGAGATGTTAGCATCTCTGATCACTTACTGATATTTGTTAAACTGAATATAATTGCTACCGAACCACATAATGCTCAATATATATTTAGGTCCCTGGATCACATTGACTTGGTTCGGTTTCAAGCTGACCTTGAGAGCGCTTCTTGGGACTCTATCTATCTGAATGAGGACATTGACGCAAAAGTAGATTTTTTAACTACTACTTTATTAAATGTCTTTGACGCACATGCTCCATTAAGATTGAAAAATAGTAAAAGAAAGCCGTATAGTCCATGGATTACTGATAACATTAGATTGATGAAAAACCTCCGAAATCAGGCACTTGCTCGTTTCAGACGCACCCGTAATCCTCTCCATTGGGGTTACTACAAGGATCTCAGAAATTTCACCACATCCGCTATTAGGGCTGAAAAAAAGGCATATCTCAATCAGAAGTTTCAAAACTGCAGTCCTAGGGAGAAGTGGGCTGAATTGAGAAAATTAAATATTCTTAAAAATAAAAATAAAAATATTCCTGATCACCTAAAAAATGTTGATGAATTGAATAGTTACTTCACTCAAGTTGCACAAAACAATAAAAATCCTAAAATGGAATTAATAAATTTTCATAATAATAATTCACTGCATGATGAATCTTTTTCATTTATTCAAATTGATGAGGATTTAATTTATAAAATTATTCTCAATATTAAATCTAAGGCTTTCGGGGCTGATAATTTAAATATCACACTTATCTCTTTATGCTGTCCCTTTATAATACCCTTTATAGTTCATATCATTAATAGCTGCATAAGAAAGTCCTACTTTCCAAAGCAATGGAAACTTGCCTGTGTTTTGCCTTTAGCTAAAGTTAATAACCCTACGGAGTTTAATCAACTGAGGTCGATATCAATCTTGCCAACGTTTTCTAAAATCTTGGAGAAAGTGATAGAACTCCAAATGGTCAGCTTTGTTTACAGATTTAATATTATTCCTCCTAAACAATCGGGGTTTAGAGCCCGGTATAGCTGTTCTACTGCACTGTCTGATGTGGTGGACGACGTGCTCACTTCTCAGGATTCTGGTGATGCAACTGTCTTGGTGCTATTGGACTATACGAAAGCATTTGACATGATCAATTATAATATTATGGTTGCCATTTTGAGGTATATCGGATTTGAAGGGTCGGCATCCGCACTGATATTTTCTTTTTTGTCGGGTAGGAGACAGCGTGTCTGTCTTGACGGCAGAAAATCTGACACCTTGGCGGTCAAGTCTGGAGTACCCCAGGGTAGTATACTTGGCCCACTTCTCTATAGTATATATACTTTTAACATTGTGAAGTCCTTGGAGAATTGCCAGTATCACCTTTATGCCGATGATACACAAATCTATGCATCATTTAAACCTGGCTCGGCGGCAATAGTAGCGGATCGGATCAACAACGACTTGGATCTGTTATTGAAAGCTTCCGAAGATCATTTATTAAAAATTAATCCTAGCAAATCTACGGCTGTACTTTTCTGCAATGATACTTGCAGAAGCCAATTACAGGACACTATCAAACTTAAACTTGGTAACGATATAATTTTATTTAGGGACTCAGTGAAAAATCTGGGCTTGATTATGGATTGTAAATTGAAGTTCAAAGCACATATTACTTTGTGCTTAAAAAAGGCATATTCGATGCTGAAACTAATCTATTCGCATAGATATTATTTATCGCAGAAAACCAAGGCTATGCTTTGCGATGCCTTAGTCTTGTCCCATTTCAATTTTGCTGATCATTTATACGGGCCTTTTCTGGACAGTCTTGATATAAAGAGAGTTCAAAAAGTGCAAAACTCCTGTCTCAGACTGATTTTTGGCATAAGGCGTAGACAAAGAATATCCCA